AGCTGCTGCAAACACCTGGGGAATAAACTAACAGACAGAATGTCTATTTTTCCCTCTGTCACTCTTTCAAATAAATAAATAGGCCCTTCTTAAAAAAAAAGGGGGGGGGGGAGAATCAAGATGGCGGAATAGGGTACAGACACGTTTAAATGGTGGGAGAAACATTTAATCAGGATGAAGCAGAGAGGACATATTTCAGGAAATAGGAAAGGACAGAACAACAGTAGAGGGGTACCTGGAGACTGACAGACACAGGAAAGCAGCAGGCACAGCAGTATGGTGTTGCAGTGACTGATACTCCAGCACGGTGATCTGAACTCCACGAGCAACCAGGTGGGAAGGGACTTTCACTGGGAGCTTAGGAGGTGAACCCAGACGGGGAACTGTCCATCCTGCTGGTCTGTTTGATTTGACCAGGAGCAGAGACAGAGCAGTAAATCTCAGACAGTGCAAGAACAGAGTGAATTTCATAGCCCAGTCATCCCTCTAGAGCTGAATTGGGCGCCATTTTGCATAAAGAGGAAAGGACAAGGGAAAGGACGGACCATGCTCTGAGCGGGGAGTGAGCTCATTTCTGACTCGGTGAACTGTAACAACGTGGCACTCTACAGGTTCCATCTGGGGCAGGTTTGGGTAGCCCTCGGATCTGATGGCCAGCAGATCAAGAACTGTAGTGGTAGCACATCAGGCGCCATTTTGCACACTGCGGCAATAGCTTTGGGACTGCAGGGGACAACAATGAACTGCGCATGTGCTGAGCTCGCGAGAACTCACTGAGGTCCCGCAGGAAAATAATACTGACTGTGGCATCGTACTGGTCAAAATAGGTCCGTGTGGCACCCAGACCTAACGTCCAATAGGTTCCGACAAGATCAGCACCACCAACAATCTAATTATATAGCACACCTGGTGTCTCTCTAATCCTGGATCTGACGTAAGAATCCAGGCCTGGAACTCGCTGTAGGTTGTGGCACAAGTGGCTGCAAGCAAAAAGTTGTGTACCAACTGCAATAAGAAAAATCGCATTGTGGACCTGTGGTTAACACAGCTTAGAAACCTGCCCCAAGAAGAAGACTCTGCTAACCAGAAGTACAATGATCAAGAGCAAAAGAAGAGACAAAGACACAATGAATATTACTGAAAACTCCCCTGCAAAGGAGCAAAACCCTTTGGCAACCTCAGAGTTAACTGAGGAAGACATCGAGAAAATGGGGGACACAGAATCCATAAAACTCATTTAAAAGATTCTGATCAACAATGAGAAGCTCATGCAAGAGTTCAAAGAATTTAAGGAAGCAGTAAAGCAAAGCAAGGCTGGTATATCAGAAATTAAGAACACAGTAGAGCAAATTACAAGTACAGTGGAAAGTCTCCAAAATAGAATGAAGCAAGCAGAAGAAAAAATCTCAGAATTGGAAGATATCTCCTGTCACCAGGGGGAAACAAACAAAAAGCTGGAAGCAGAGCTGGATCAGGCCAAAAAAGTATTCAAGAATTGAAAAACACTATTAAGAGGCCAAATATAAGAGTTATGGGAGTCCCGGAAGGTGCAGAAAGAGAAGCTGAGTTTGCAAATGTATTTAATGAAATAATCAAGGAAAATTTCCCTAATCTGGAGAAAGAATTGGGAAACAAGATCCAGAAGGGATACAGAACTCCCAACAGGCTTGATCAAAAGTGATCTTCACCAAGACACATGATCATCAAGATCTCTTCAATTGAACATAAGGAAAAGATCCTTAAATGTGCACGTGAAAAAAATCAATTGAGATATAAAAGAATGCCAATTAAGCTCACAGGAGACCTCTCACAGGAAACTCTACAGGCAAGAAGAGAATGGAGTGACATATTCCAAATTCTAAAAGAAAAAAAATTGTCGGCTTAGGATAACATATCCAGCAAAGCTTTCTTTCATCTTTGAAAATGAAATAAAATTCTTCCACAGTAAAAAAAAGCTAAAAGAATTTGCCTCTTCCAAACCTGCCCTACAAATGATACTTCAAGATGTTCTCTTGACAGAGAAATAACACCTACCAAAACCAAAGCTAAATGGGAAGAACATCCTAGTAAAATGACAACAGAAGACTAAATCAATGAACAACCCATTCTTAAAATGACCCTGAATGTAAATGGCTTAAGCTTAATCAAACATCATAGATTAGTAGACTGGATTAAGAAACAAAACCCATCTGTTTATTGTCTGGAGGAGACACACTCCGACAAAGTTCAGTGGAAACTATATCACATGGATTTTATTGTTTTCTGTTTGTTTCATCTCTTCAAAACACTTTCTTCTGATTAAATCATTCAATGACTCGTAGATCATACAGTCACATCATTTTCTTCAAGAAGGTTCTTGATTTTCACTTCTTCAGCTACATGTTATACATTTAATAGCATGTTGTTTAACTTCTTGGTGGTGTTAATTTCTTTTTTCTCCCGGATGTTGAGTTTGTTTTGTGGCTCTTCATTTAAGGGGATGTATAGTAGTTGTGTAATGGATACTGTCATATCTAGTAACATGTCATTTAACTTCATGGCATTATAAATTTCTATTTTTCTTTCTATTTTTGATTTTGTATCATGACTTTTCATTTAAGGGAATGTACAGTAGTTATGTAATGGAGACTAACATTCAGATGTGAGGATGCAGTGTGGTATGCATTTCTGTTTCCAGACAAGGATGGACTTACAGTGAAACTGTTTATATTATATCTTGACAATAGGATGCAGGACTCTCTGCCATTGTCCATGCCCACAATGATAGACATATAATTGAGTATGAATGACTATATGTTAGTAATGATATAAAGGAACTAGGTGGGGGGGGCGTAATTGGGGAGGGAATAAGGAAATATGGAACTGCATCATAAAATGATAGCAATAATAATAAAATGTGGAAAAAAATAAAAATTAAAAAAAAAGAATCTCCATCATAGAGTCACTCGTGGTGTCACAGATAAAAGAGAAATCTAGCAAGACCCTCAGATTTTCATGCAGGAGTCTCCTGGGAAAGCCCTGTAGGCAAAATGCCTTGAGAGGGTGGCAAGCAGTTTGGAGCAGTGGAAGAAAGTGAACACTAGTTCAAGTCCCAACTGCTTCCTTTCATGTCTAGTGCTCTGTTAATGCACCAAGTAAAGAATGGTCCAAATGCTTGTACCTCTGCCACCCACATGGGAGACATGAAACCATTGACTCCTTGCTATTACCTAGGCCAGCTCCAGCCATTGCAACCAATTTGGGTAGTGAATCAATGGATGTATGATCTTTCTTTTTCTGCTCTCCTCTCTCTGAATTTGGACTCAGACTTTCAAATAAATAAGTTTTACCCACAAAGAAATTTCTGAAGGGGACTTTGGGAAAATGGAAGAATGAGAAGTTACTGGGCTTAAGACAAACAAGACAAAGATCAGGAAAAATGCCAAGATATTAAGTTTGAATTACTTACGAACAGGAAAAACCCGATGTGTCTGACTAAGTTTAGAAATCCATATCTTTGCGAACAAGCTTTGGTTCACTCCTCAGGGCAGGTAAGGAAGCAAATGTGATGAAGGTTTCACAAGGGCAACCCACAAAGGACAAACTCAACTAGCTCAGAGTGAAGGAAAGGAAAGAAGCATGCTCTCTGCAGAGAAGAGAAATTAGTAAAAACTCTTCCTTTGTTTTCTGGTATGGACTTCTCAGGTCAAAAGCCATGGGTGGTTGGAAAGAGGGCAGGGTGGAATTCTGCTATTCTGCTTCAGTAGCAAGTAAAATGCTTTTTCAAAAACATTTCTGTGGTGCCAGGGAAGAGAATCTCTGTAGTCTTGCTTAGCAAAATGCCACCATATTTTACTACAAACTACACCAAATGATAACATGTTTTGCTACAAATTATCCCACAGATGTTTACAAGTTTAGCTCTGCCTGCCCCTTTGCCAAAACTGAAAAGAACAGGTGAAACACAAAGCTAGTTTTTCAGCAAGTATACCACATTCTGAGCTCAGGAAATCACACTTCACAAAACATAAACCTGCTCCTTAATGATTGCACAGACTGCAAACAGCATTTTCTGGAAAATACAGAATTTTCTGGCAAAAAAAAAGAATGCCAGGATATGGCATCCAGTAGCACATTTATAGCCCATTAGAGAAGATAATAGAGTTCAGGAGATGCAAAATACGTCAAAATGCAAACTGGACCTCAGTGTCAACAGTACTATTCCAACAAGGACTTCTTGTCTAAAACACTCGCACATATAATACATAATATTATGCAATAATAACATGTCCATATTATGTCTTATGATGCATATTTGCATAGTAATGTATAATGTGAATATTACATATAGTTATATAATATGAATTATATGCATATAAGTATTCTTGAAACTAGCAAGAGGACACCCAGTAGAAAGGTTTATGTTGTGCATGTGTGTGTGTGTGTTTAGGAAAAATCAGGTTACACTCTTTTTATTTGGAACAGAATTATCAGGTATGAACAAGGGAATAAAATGTACCAGCTGTTTAGCCATGATACATTTGTAGTTCATCTTCAATGCAACACAGAACTTTCCCTATCAAATGACTTGCTTTGTCTTGCCATTTCCAAGACTGGACCAGCTTGTAGTGGCCTCAGGCATCTTTAGAGTCTGCTGCTGCTCTCAAGACCACCTGTCCCTCACTTGGCCCACAGAGCCCAGCGATGACTTCTGCTTTGGTCTAGTACCAAAGGAAAAGAGTAGGATGTGTATTACAATCAGCAAAAACCTGTACAGGAAATATCTGTGTTAAACACAAACACTACCAGAGTATTTTACAAACATTTGCACTTCTATAATTGCCACTATCAAGCCAACTATGCTAAAGATGGGGAAACTGGATGCACATCTAATGATAACATGAAACTGGGACTTAAGAGTTTATGCAGTCAGCCACTAAACTCCACTACCATCAGTAGCAGTTTTGTACTATGCGAGTAAAACAGAAAGATTAAATAATAGTAACAGCTCATGTATAAATATTCATTAACAATGGAGCTTTTATTTGAGAAAATGGAAAACTTAAAATATAGAAAATTCACATGGGTAGGTTTTCATTGAGAGTTTCTAAAATTGCAAATCATGTCATATGTAGTGTAAATAATTGTCAATTAACAGAAAGATAATCACCACTCAAACCTGCATTCACTCCTAAATCATTTTTGTAATAGCTCTCTGATTATAGAAGCAATAAATGTTCCACAACATGGTGAGATTTTTAAATCACTTATAGTTCTATCTTCCAGAACTCATCACTGCTGATTTTCACTATGTTTATTCCCTAGTCATCTTTATGGGCGTTTTTCACTTGTATAGTAACAACATTTATGAAATGTGACTGTTTATGCCCAAGTGATCCCTTATTCAAAGAAAAATTTCAACTTCATTATGGTATCCCAATGTATACTAAATAATCACCAAGTGCTCTAAAACTGCAAAAGTGATACACAAGGTGGGGTGATGTTAAGACTCTTATTAATGTCCATGGTTTTGCCTTACAAATGTAAAAGTATTCCAAAATAGAAAATTTAAAAAAAAATCACCTTACAAAAGTACAGAGAAAAATAGACTACTACTAACACATATGCTAATCATTTAAAATTTCAAATATTCCATCAATTGAAGTCATGGTGATGATATTTAAATATGATTTTTATTTCCTTTGCTGCTTACCTCAGAGGAACAAGTAAAATGAAAATAATATTTGCTTCTTGAACTTGTACACAAATTGATGTGACACCTTCATAAATTCATGAGAATTTTAACAAACTAATTCAAAAGCATCTCTAAGATAGGATGACACAGACAACCAAAAGGAAATCATGATTTATTCTTGTTCTAATTCCTCTCAGCAGGTTTTTAAGCAAGCTATCTAGGAAGCATAGTATTATTGTCAACAAATGAATCTCCCAAATCTTCATGCAGGAGGAAAATAAAGCCTCCAGTCAATATATCAGGTTGAAACTGTGCATAGCTGTAATCTCCGGTATCACAAAGGATTGGGAACAGACTGAGAGGAGATGGCTGCTGCTAGCCCAGTGTCACAGCCTTGAAGGAAGCTTCCTCTTGACGGTGCCAGTAATTTTGCCATATGGATTGTCTAATGGTAGCAAGACCTGCGGAAAAAGCACTTGGTAATTTCAGAGACATTAAAACAGCCCTTTCCTTTATATAAATCAACATTAAAACAACAATGGAATGACAACTTGTGACACAGGCAATGTGTATGTGCCACAGTAAGGTCATTTTAAGCATGAGAACAGCTTATTTCTGCCTTCAAGCCTTGATAAATGACTTGCTTTTCCAGAAAATCACAGTGTTTTTGGTTATTAAGATAGAAATGTTTCTAAAACACATGACATATCCCTGCTTTTTAAGTAGAATGTAGTGAATACAGGTTGACCTCTCCTTGATGATTCAATTTGCCCATCAATAAATGTCCAAAGCTGCAATGCCACCATGCCCTCCGGAGCAGCTGAGGACAGCTGAGCTGTTAGCTCAGTGCTAAAGGACTCCAGACAGCTGTACTTAGGAGTTCTGACTTTCCACCTTGCCATTTGTTACTTGTTGTCACAGGCTCCAAGTTCATCCTTCATACCTTTACCTCATACATACCTGTTGGTTGCCCAAGGGCCAGATATTGACCTCAGCCATCCCCAAAGTGCAAAGACAGACACAGAGACAGCTTGTGCACTTACTCCGATGCCTTTCTGTGAAGCCCTGATCTGAGGAGGGGCTTAGAATATTAGACCAACCAGCTCCCTAGGAGGGTTCGCTGCAGGCTTGAAGCTAGGGTCATTGACAAGAGTCTCCTCCCTCTGCCAGCATGTCTTAGTTGACCAGCACTGTCTGTCTTGGTAGCTGACCCCTCTTCTGATTAGCATCCTCTTGTTTTGCTACAGGTGGACATGGCAAGATTACCTTTAGGTCTATCTTCTGCCTGCTAGAAACTAAACATTTTTTTTTTAAAGATTTATTTATTTGTTGGAAAGTCAGATATACAGAGAGGAGGAGAGACAGAGAAGAAGATCTTCTGTCCCATGATTCACTCCCCAAGTGAGTGCAACAGCCGATGCTATTCTGATCCGAAGCAAGGAGCCAGGAACCTCTTCCAGGTGCAGGGTCCCAAGGCCTTGGGCCATCCTCGACTGCTTTCCCAGGCCACGAGCAGGGAGCTGGATGGGAAGTGGAGCTGCCGGGATTAGAACTGGCGCCCATATGGGATCCCAGGTGAGGACTTTAGCCACTAGGCCATGCTGCCGGGCCCAATGCTAATCATTTTTAAAGAGTTCCATATTCTAGTCAATGGCCTACTGGTAGTCACCATTCTTTTCTGTCTCTGGCGCTAACACTAGTGCTTCCCTCCTTTCAGTGAATGAATAGCACATGGATCAGAGATTGCAACTCAGGGGTCTATGTCACTTACACTAAGCATCTAAATTTTCCCCTTGCTTCCCAAAGCCACTCTGTCACTCCACCTGCAGCCAAAAATAGTATAAAGCTCAGTGGAGTCTACCAATATTAGACGAGGTCGGGTGCGTTCAGGGTAGTATGGCCGTAGTCAGGTCTACCAATATTATTTGCATAACTGTCACAAGGTGCCTAGACAGAAGAATCGCAAGGCCATTGAATCAGCAGATCCAGGATGGGAGAACTGGAGACCTCAGTACCAGCCCTTTGCTACTGAAGGATATGACAGCACAGCAGCAGAGGCATGCTAATAGGCTCCTTTCCCATCTCATTCCCTCGTATACCAAACAAAGTACCTAGAATTTGGGCTGAAAATTCTAGGAACCAGTGGGAGGATGAATCAAATGGAGAGCTACTATAATTTTGAAAGCCCAAGAGGCAAGGGTTGTTCTTTTCCCTAGGAACTGATCACAACAGGCAATGGATCAGGGATTCAGGCTGCCAGGCCTGACACACTGGAGGAGTTAGCCTTCTGCTATGACTAAAAACAAGTCAGGGTAAGCACCATTTCTGAAATAAAGGTTTCCTTTCAAAATCTGAATTTCCTCATCTTGCCTTCTACAATTGCAATTAGAAATACAAAAATACTTCATCCACACTGTGTGTATTGTGCTGCATACTTTTGAAGCGACTGTTTTATCAAGAGGTAGATAAGAGGGAAGAAAATACAAATGGAATCCCCCTTTTTCCTCCTCATTGTCTCATGGTGGAAGAATAATGAAGCAGCAGCCTTGTTGGCACTTTTCAGAATAGTGCATCTCAGATTTGTTCGCCAGACATGCTCTGTTCATCCCATGTCCTCTTCTCTCTGTTACTCCCAAATTTGCTCCATAGCCATCATCCACTTCTAAGGCTCTCCAGCTTCAGGCATATGAAAGGCCCAGAGTCTAGAGGCTTCTAGTCAGTGGCAACTATGAATATTCCCAAAGCAGGAGCAGGTGCTTGGCACGGCTGCTAAGATACCCCTTCGGGTGCTCACACCCAAGTTGGAATTGCTGAGTTTGAATCCTGGATCCAGTCCCAGTTCCAGGTTGCTGCCGATATGTACCCTAGGAGGCAGCAGTTGGAGGATCTTGTAGTTGGGTCTCTGCCATTCATACAGAACATCTAAATTAACTTCTTCACTTCTATCTTAAGCCTGGCCCAACCTGCTGTTGCAGGCGCATAGGAAGTGAACCAGCAAATGAGAGGTGCATCTTTCTGTTTTGATCTCTTTGCCTTTCAAATAAATATAAATAAGTAACTAATTAAATTTAACTTAATTTTGATGATATATTATGCAATGTTAATAAGGAGATTGGGCCAAGGAGTATGTGGGAAGTTTGTTATTATGATCCTATAATTTTTGTTTTGTAAATTTAAAGCTATTCTAAAATATTAACTAATAACACATAGATCTGTGGATATATACATAAATAAATATTCTCCAAACCAACCGTTGTTAACCTTGACATTATCAACTCCGGCTTATATCGAGGCATGAGACAGGGCGGGATGGAGGCTGCTTACCTCTTCCTTGTTGATCAGTCCCATCTTGGACATGTCTATGTTAAAGTAGTGAATGTTTGGCAGGCTGATTTCCATATCCTCTATCTAGAATCCACAACAAAATGTATTACATTGAGCAATAATAAATTCTTCTGTCACTTTTTGTACCTCATCCCACCTATCTACTACCCCATTACACAGCTCTGTGTTGAAGGCACCCTCTGATGTTCCTATATTCTCCAATACTGTTCTTTCCTGTGTCTCTTATTATGAGATGTTGGCTTTCTCTTTGATAAACAAAAATTCTTTGAGTCAGAAATCTGGGACCTCTTCAGTATCCAATTGACTGGCAGGTATTGACTGATCAACATCCTAAATTCTTCTTCCTTCCATTCATTCTTTTGCAGGTCTGTCCTTAACACTAACAAGTCCTGGAATAAAACTTTAATTGGAGATCCAAGTGCCAGATTGATAAAGACTTTGAAGTTATAAATTAAGCTAACAGAAACTTTTAAGTAAAATATGTTCCTTCTCCTAACTTGACAAATATACCTTTCTAACATTCTGGGAGGCCAGGTGTTCATTTAAAATGTTTCTACTCTTTGGAATCCCAGGCCAGGACAAGGCAGCATGGGAACAGTCAGTTCCCGGCACCTGTCTTGGACTCACATGGGTAGGCACTCTGGCTTATATGCCAAGTCCTTCCACGCATCCTACAAACACCTGCCCCTTGGCCAGCTCTCAGTCCTTGTGTTCTCTGCCCTTCAGAGAATGGTTCTTAGGGAGAGGTTGGCTCCAGTTCCACAAGGAGGCTCAGTGCTCTTTGAACAGGAGGTTCTAAGAAAACAGTAGCTCCTGAAAGGTTGGTTGTTTTGGTCCCACCAACTGCTCACCCTGCAGAGGGAGAACCAGCCAAAAGGAAGCCTCTAAAGTGCTGTGCCACCATGGGAGTCCCTCTCACCCAGGTCTAAGGGAGGCACGCCTCCTTCTCATTTTCACCAGGGCCTTGTCCCATGCTCTCCTCGTTGCATTTCTGCAATTACTCCCAGCAAAATCTTCTTGCATTTTAATCTGTCCTACTTCTGTCAGAAATCTTTTCTAGAGTGCAAATTTAATCATGTTTCATTCAATCTAAACCCCTCAGTGGCTTCTAGGCACTTTCAGGGTAAAGTGTACAGGCTCCCCGCCTCATCGCTAAGCACAGGCAGAGACTCTCACCCCTCCAGTTTCATACATGGGAGATGCTTAAAAGTTAGTGACTCTGTTGTTCCAAGTTAGTGGCCCTGTTTTAATACCTCTTCTTTTCATAGTTTTCCTTACAGTAATCCCCATCCTTAAGTGTGGACTCAGCTTCTATTTGTCCCTACAGATTCAACACCAACACCTCTCCCTCCAGAAAATGTGGCTGGCTGGAATGAAAGCATTCCATAATACTTTTTCCCTACAGTAAATTTACTAGCTAACTTACTTGTTTTTATTGCTGTTTTCACTTAGCCTTGCACTCTTGAAGGGCAGGGATCATGTCCAATTGATCTTTGTATCCCTAGTGCACTGCCAGAGACACAGCCACCTTTCAACCACCGAATCTCCTACATCTGCTATCTTTCATTCTTTGTCTGGCTCCCCTTGAAGCATAGATCCTCCATCTATGTACCTCTCCCTTAAGTCAATCAAGTAGCCTAAGCATGAGGCTTCAGTCCATGGCAGATTGGAGAGACTGAAAGGAATTTCAACAAAGCTGAAAAACTACAGCAGTGGCCTGCATTTTCAGGTTGGACAGATTTTTCCATTTTTTGCTCTCTTTTAACTTGCTATAACAAGCTTTTGAACAACAGCAGATGTCATGTTTCATGTGTCTCCCACTTTCTTATTTTAACTCTCAACTCTGTCTCGGAGCTGACAGGAGACACAACAATGTTCTCAATCCCCAAAATGGCAAGTAACAACAACCTACCTCAGGGACACGGCTCAGAGCAAGCACCTGGATGTCATACAGGGTCTTCTGGACAGAGGGTGAGTACTCGCCTTTGTCATAGGGGCCAGCAAATTTCTCCAGAATAGTGTCACGAACAATGTCCCTGAAACACAGTGGTAAGAATTGTTATAGGATGGATTTTAGCAAAGCTTTACAGAACCAAGAAGTAGAAAGCTTTTCTCCCCCAGAAAAACAATTATATCAATGGTTTCAGAGGATAATAATACTTCGTAATGTCAAGAAAACACTCACCCTCATTTTGCATTTCCTTACACACACACACACACACATACACACACACCCTTCAACAACTGTATTGAATATCAACAGGCTGTCTTCATAGGTCAGCACCAGAGCTACATGGGTATTCAGACTAAGTCTCCCACCATGTTTCAGGAGCCCATAATGAAGACTTCAGAGTGCTAAATACATCTAATTGGGTTGCTTGACTGGTCACTTGAATTGTTATATTAGTGGCTTTGCTTTGTGCCTAACCTGTACTAAGCAGTCTGTGGCTGTTACTGAATTTTCAATATAGATGAAGCAGATACTACTAGATTCACCAGTTAAGAGGAGAGGAAATTGTACATGAGAGGTACTGCTCAGTGCAGCAATTAACTCACTGCTTGGGATATCTGCATTTCACACCAAGTGTCTACTTTAATTCCCAGCTACTCTGCTTCCCACCCAACTCCCAACTAATGGGGGGAAATGGGGATCTTGAGGGGCAGCAGAGCCTGGCTCATGCAGGTGGCTGCTGCTACATACAGGTGAGATCTGGTACTGTAATATAGGTTGGACCTCTGGCTGAGGCACTGGCATCCCATGTGGCCACTAGTTTGGACCCCAGCCACTGGACTTCAGGTCCAGCTCTGTATTGGCAGTCTTGGAGGGCAGCAGAGGACAGCCCTGCACCCATGTGGGAGACCCAGAGGAAGCTCCTGGCTTCTGGTTATTGTGGTTGTTTGGGTAGTAAACTATTGGATGGAAGATCTTTCTGTCTCTCTCTTTCTTCTCTCTTTGTAACTCTGCCTCTCAAATTAAAATAAAATAAATCATAAAACAATGCAAAAAAACACTGTTCATGAAATGGGAGAAAATCTATCTCATAATAAAGGGAGCAGGGAAAGCTATGATGGGGAAAGAATTATGATGGGTAAACCCCAGCTGGGCAGAAAGCAAACTCAGGGAGTCCAAAGGCCTAATTGTCCCTTGTCAAAGAGATAATAATAGTAATAGCATCTTGAGATTTTCCAAACGTTTGTCATTTTCAAAGTGCATCTATAAAATTCCTATCATTTTTAGTTTCGCCTAGAGTGACCAATAGTCTCAGTTTTCCTAGGCTCATGGCATTTTCCATGACATGGGACATTCTGTGTTCATAACAAGAAAATGGGCAAACTGGGGCAGGATGGTCACCCCAGGTTAACTCTATCTGCCTCACCACAAAGCCAGATTATCTCTTCATTTGATACAGGGCTCCTTACAGTGTGCTCCATGATGCACCAGATTTAGTTTCATCTGGGAGTTTGTACGAAATGTAAATTCACAGACTTATACATAGGAGCCCCTGACAGCAGGGGCTACTATCTTCATTTGAACAAGCTTCAGGTGATTCGGGTGCATACTAACATTTGAGAACCAAAAAAATTAATTAATTAATTAAAAAAAGAGAACCACTGTTTAATAAGGCAAAAACTGGAAGAAATTTCTGGATAGCATATAAACAGCTACTGTTTCCCATTTAAATCTAAGACTCCATGAAGCCTGGATGCAGGGGAGAAACAAGACACTTCCTGTCCCAGTGTCAGCTCCTCTACATTCATACCAAGTGGCCTCAAAATCCACATCTTTGCTTTGTTGGTAGCGCCACTTGCAGTACACCTGGGTGGCAAAGCACCGGTCCTTGACCTCCGGGAGGGTAGTAAACTGGTCTTTAATGAATCCTTCAAAGCCAGACTGGGTTGTTTTCAAGACCTTGAGGTCTTTGATTCCAGAATGAATAACTGGAGGTCCTGAAATGTAGGAGAGAATGTAGAGAGTAATATAGCAGAGGATGAGATCATAGACAAAATGCCTCCTGCAAACACCTGACCTGAGTACTACGATCATAAATACAAGACTTTGTGGCCAAATGGGACAAACTAGAGACCATTATACTAAAGGAAATGAGCCAATCCCAAAAAGTCAGATATCATATGTTTGCTCTAATATAAAATAATATGATGTCAAATCTAGAGATATTACTTGTTAATCTTACCTTATGTCATTTCCTACTGACCTGTACCTTCTGTAATAAGATCTTGTGATATAATTCATTAATCAACCATCCATAAGAGGCTGACTGTTTATAATTACCTGAGATGGTCAATGTTCTTTTTAACACTGTTACTGGTACTGCCTATAAACAACAAAGATCTAGTCCTCATTTCACCCTCATTAGGACCCTGGGATACAAGAATGAACTTACAATGAAATGACTAACAGTCTCCCACATGGTTGGGAGACAATATGATGGACTTGTGAAAATTCACAAAAAAAAAAAAAAACCCATCCACTGTGAGACTGGAAGGGAGAACATAGGGGAAGGGAGGAAGCTTAAAGAGGGATAAGAGAGACTCTAACACCAAAAAACAATAAAAATAATTACAAAAAAAGAACATGGTACAATATGCCTATGCCAAGAACCATTGTCCTGCCCATTTGTTCTGCCTTCTTGTGACTTCTGAAGACTGAGCCAGGCAAATGGTGGCCCTGTCCTTCCACCTGTTTTGGCCTCTCCTGCTCTAGGAAGATTGACTTCTATACTGTGTCAAAGACATGGAAATGAACATCTTCCTCCTATCTATGTGCAGCAATCTCTCAGCCAAATAACCTTGAAAAATTTTAACTCTACCTCATTCCACTGGCAATTTTGCTCAAATGGTTTTTTGAGGTCCTTGGGAGAAGGCCTCTCTGCTTGCCATGGTCCCCCTATAGGGAGCAGTCCATATGTTGCTCATCCACAGTGGTAGACAGCTCCAGTCAGCACTGGGCCCAAAAGGCACATCTAGTCTCCTATGCGTATGAAGGTAATGAACCAGACAACTTCAAGAACAGGTAGCAGCACAGACCTAGCTACACCTAAAGAAATGCTGAGAGGATGAGGCTCGTGGTTCTCTGAGCATACGTCAGCTTCAGCTGGTATGGTGAAGGCTTTTGAGTATTGGCTGAAGGAGAAGTGTTAAAATTGGGTCACAGACACTGTGGGGAGACGAAGAGGAGTTAAATGCAATGGAGGAGATGATGCAGATACTCCTTCTATCACTAATATTTCTCCTGAGCTAATGGGGCAGGCAGGTGCCAGTCCTAATCTAAAGCCAGCCTTGCAGTTACAGCTTAGGGCCCAGGTAACTGGTGGAGCACAGATTCAAGGAGGTAAAGAGTCTTTCTCTTTCTATTTGAATCACTATACAGCCACAGCCGCTTAATGAAGTCTAAGTAGAACACAGCATTGGGTAATGCATTGAGAGACATCCACAGTGTGGACGTCACATTGTAACCAATGGACACAGTGACTGCCAGAAGGTGGGAGTGTTTGTTGGGATAGTCTAGAAGTTTTATAGTACAAAAGCTACAAGATCAAGAAGATTCAGAAAATGATAGTCCAATTCTTATATATAGGTGCAGGTTGGTACCATTATGGGACCTTTGGGTAGCACTTGGCAAACCCCAAAAGCAAAGGTATGATGGGAGACTTATTCATACTGCCTTTTTTCAGTCTCCAAGTCAGCCCTGGTTAGTAGCTGTCCCTCTTGAGCATAGTCTAAAACTCAAGGGTTAGAGGTGCCAGAGATCACCATATATGTGGTCTTAATTGGAGATTAAGAATGTAACTCACTATCCTCAATTAAAATTCAAGGAAACTCTTTAAAAAAAAAAACTCTTTAAATGAAGTCTATGATTTGCATCACCTGTGTGGTTTCAAATGGTGTAGCTAGCTGAGGAGCAGTTTTAGACTATATCTTGGTATTTTCGTATACTACACAAAAATAGCAATGGCCAGTGGTTAGTGTGAGATCTTCTGATTAAATAAGGAGTTCTGGTCAAAATGTTCCAGGACAATGTGGTTAAACAGAAAAATAACTGCTTAGCACTCTGAAGTTCTCACTAGATGCCATATCTAAAGAAAGATCAGAAGAAAAACACCAGCAATACTCTAATGACTTCAGTTGGTGGGGTTTACCAGAAATATATTATAAACACATAGTGCCTCAAAATTAGAATTTTCTTAAATGTAATGAATCAAAATCAGCCAATAAATATTTGTAGAGTAAATTAATAAATTAATAGTAAGGTTGATTCACATCAAGAAATAAGTATGTTTTTCTTTCCTAAATAGTTCACTGTCATCAATCTTTTCCATTCCCCACCCTGATCCCACTCCATTCTCACCCACAGTATGGCCAGGGAAAGGACAAGACTGACAATGCTTTAGAATCTCCTGTTTACAGGCATGCTTTTGATTGTTGCCTTTTAAAATCTTAATCTTTCTTAAAAATCAAAAATTTATAATGTAGATTTTTTTATACATCTGACATTTAGTCACTTACATTTAATCATATGGTTAGAAACCAACATACTTGAAGTGGAAGTTCGATACCAAATTGTTGGAGTCAATGCTTTTCTTCCTCCTTTTTTGATCATTCTCCATCTATGCACTCTTCCTTCCTTTCTTTACCTCTTTCTCTTTTAAGTGTTGCAGTCTTTCCAAGAGACAAGAAGGTTGATACCTCAATATCATAGTGTGATTTGAGAGACTCAAACAGGACCCCAAGCTGAAAAATACAATCTCCCTTGGTCTGAGATGGAGCCGGATACATCACTTTTTTTTTTTTTTCGGATACATCACTTTTTAAAATGGTGTTCAGGGCCCTGCGTGGTGGCCTAGTGGCTAAAGTCCTCGCCTTGAAAGTGCCAAGATACCATATGAGTACTGGCTCTAATCCCGGCCGCCCTGCTTCCTATCCAGCTCCCTACTTGGGGCATGGGAGAGCAGTTGATGAGTATCCAAAGCCTCGGGACTCTGCACCCATGTGGGAGATGCAGAAGAGTTCCTGGCTCCTGGTTCCTGGCTTCAGATCAGCTCAGCTCTGACCGTTCTGGTCATTTGTGGAATGAATCATCGGATAGAAGATCTTCCTCTCTGTTTCTCCTCCTCTCTATATAAATTTGACTTTGCAATAAAAATAAATGAATCTTTTAAAAATGCTTTGAATGTATCTTGAAAAATTTATATTTCATAAACATTTATTATTGAAATGTAGCGATTCCTTAGCAGAGTAACTCCTTCAGCCTTTGCAAGTTAAGATTATATACTTACAATAGTAGCCCCTTCCAGAAAACAAAATCTTATAAAAATGAAGCATGATTTTGTGATCAGGAGTGGTACGCACCTGAGTAGTGGAAACTTTTCAGTGGGAATAACGTGAATGAGGAGCAAGAACCCTATTCCTTTCCTTCAGCTGCGTTTGAACATTAGCATCCATATAAACCATTCTAACTTTAAAGGCTCTTGCATTGGACTGCATCTTTCAAGGATTCCTGCATGCATGCTACATGGTGCTTGAGCCCACTGAGGAACTCACATTTCTTAATTTAGGTCCTAGCATTTGCATAGTTTCCCCAACTCCCATTTTGAAGAACACTATGCTCCTGAAGAAATTATTAACCTCTCACTTCCTTGACTTTCTCATCCGAAAAGTGGAAACAATAATCTTGTCTATTTATTAGAGAAGCAGATGGCAAAGGTAATGCATGGAAAATGCATCTCACTTAGGAGAATAGATGCCTTCAACAAATCTTCCCTGAAACTTACTATGATGATTTTTCTCTGTGATGATTTTTCTTACCGGCTTCAACCACCTGTACATACTTCCCTCAAGATTTACAAAGGCTCTTTGTGTTACAATGAGCCATCCCCTCCTCTTCCGATTCAGGAAAAGGTGACCTAAGAAGAATGTCAGTCCTAGTAGGTCTCTTTTAAAACGTCAGGACTACCCCTAGAATGCGAAAAAGAAGAAAGCGGGCACATTTTAAACATTTGTTTTGGCATCATTTTCACACTAAATAAAATGTTTTGTGTTCCCTGAGACAATTAACTATTGCCACAGCTTTGGCAGAAAGCAAACCTACTCTGGTGCTCTCATTTTATGAACAACACAAACGAGACTCTTGAATGTTAAAAGAATTTTTTCCTTGGCACATGTTAAACACGCTGGATGAAATCACAGAGCTTATTTTATCTTCTGGATTGGCAGTGTCCCAGCTTTCTGAACATTTGTAAGAACCTGAGGCTTTCAAATTCATGGGCTCATCAACTTAAAATATAGTGCCTCACACACACTAAAAAAAGATGCCAATTTAGACTAACAAGAAATAATTCAACCAAAAAGACTGTCCTTTTCTAGGTTATTTTACATGAAACCACTTAATCAGCTTTGTTTTTTTCTGCCATGGTTATAGAGTAATGCAAAAGTAAGGAAGATTTTTTTCATAATTTACATTTTAGACTATAATCTTTTCTAGCTTTCACTGTCCTCCCACGCACTTAACAGATTGTGGCTTATCTCTCGGAGAAGCATCCACCCTACTCTCAAGCTCTCTGAGGGGGAAAAAAACCTCACTGTGAATTAATAGAAAATAAGCCCAATTTCTTACCTACGCATCAGGTGTCACAAAGCACAAAGCTTTACAGAGCCAAGACAAAAAAAGAAAACCTTGTCATGAAGAGGATAATTGCTTCCACATTTAACACCTCCAAAAAGACACAAATAGCTAAAAGGAGGATATTTTAAACTATATTAAATCATTCTAGTAGAAGCTCTCAAACTTGTAAAGTGCTAGAAAAAGTGAAGATCAATTAAATATCGTTTGCCCTTGAAGTCCATTTAGCTCATGCTGGGAGAGGAAAAGCTCACCCCCTTTGTGCAGTTCCGGATAGGGAGAGATGACATCACTCATAGGGAACGAAGTG